TTAATCAATTTGACAGCACTAATATGTATGTGTGTGTGTGTGTGTGTGTGTGTATGTATATATATATATATATATAATTTATTTATATTCCATTAAGTTAATTTATTGAATAATAACACATTTTATAGAGAAATATGGATAATATTAATATTTAGTTTTACATAAGTTGTCTAAGTTATCACTATTTAATATTATATAATCTTTAAATACATTTTATTGAGCCTTAATGCTCTAAGCTATCACTAATTTTACTTGAATAAATGTAATATTTGTCTCAAATATGAGTTTAATATTAATATTTATTTTGATAAAAGTTATCTACACGTGGAATCTTAAAATGCGGTGACACTGTTCACTGAGAAAGTTTCATTGAGAAAATGATTCAATAAATCATGGCAATTTATTTCCAAAAAATAAATGAAAATAAATTCAAAACAGACCATTTTAAATGTTCACATTTTGAGACAAAACCTTAATAATCACATCACTCATTTTGACTTTTTGTGTTTTGAGAATGAAAATTACAAGAAAAAAATTACAAAATTAATTTATGGTTTGTCACAACACACGTTGGTCTAATAAAACGTTTCAGTTTCAGTGCTAAACTCCATTTAAATTTGATTCAAACTTTCAAATCAAATGAGAGTTGGTTCTAAAATTCAGCATTTTGCCCAACTGTTATTCAGATAACAATCAGATTGCTTCATATGCTTTTATAAAAATTGCAGACGGGACCTTTAAATGTCTACGATGGGCTGAAATAGCAGTGTTTGGTACCACGTGTTGTGAGTAAAACCCACATAACCCACACAAGCCACCGATCACAGCAAAGCAGCAATTTCACATCTTCATTGGGCTGATTGTTCGATGCGCCGGACATCTGTTTTGAGTTAAAGTGCCGAGATCAGTATAAGACTGTAACCCGATGTAAATCTCCCGCACAAACGCACCCGTGTACACACACATTCCCCTCAGACTGATTTAACTGACCTGGAACGGCTGGGCATACGAGCCACCGAATGTCAAAAACGTGAGCTCACACAGTCTGAAAATACAATTAATACCACAGAACTGTGTGCTCAGCAGTCCGAGCCCAAATCTGACGGATTTATCGCTCTCTTCTACGGGTTAACCGCGTAAACTGCTTCACTTTGACACGGAGGATAGAGTGACGGCGTTTTGGGCCTCAGTCGCGGTCGGTGCAGAGTTTGATTACAACCATATAAGTTGGGTTCCAGCAATAATGTTTGTTTGCCTTGAGTGGGATGAAGTCCTGAGAGGACGCAGATCATCACACACACTAACTGACACACTAGCAGGTTTTGTTTCGATGCTTACTTTGTCCCAAATGTAAAGAAACCATGGCTTACCCAGACAGTTGTGTCCATCGTGGGCCAAACGAAAGCCGTCGTAGCACGTGCATCTGTAGTTTCCCGGGATGTTGATGCACTCGTGAACACATCCTCCATTATATTCACTGGCACACTCATCGATATCTGCAAGAACGACCACATTAAACGTTAAACAGCTTATATCACAGAACATCATGGCTCTTTTGACGCCAAAATGTTTGGGGTCTTCTTCATACTTTTATTCAGCAAGGATGCATTAAATTGATCAAAAGTGACAATAAAGACATTTATAATATTACAAAAGATTTCTATTTCAAATAAATGCTGTTATTTTTTAACCTTCTATTCAACAACAAAAAAATCTAATGTCTTAGAAAAATATGAAGCGGCACAACTCTTTTTAACATTGATAATAATCAGAAATGTTTCTTGAGCAGCAAATCAGCATCTTAGAATGATTTCTGAAGGATCATGTGACACTGAAGACTGGAGTAATGATGTTGAAAATTCAGCTTTGATCACAGGAATAAATTACACTTTAAAATAAATTCAAATAGATAAGTTATTTTAAATTACAAAAATATTTCATAATATTACTGATTTTTTTTTAAATAAATTCAGCCTTGGCGAGCAGATATTAACAAAATCTAACCTTCTATTCAACAACAAAAAAATCTAATGTCTTACAAAAATATGAAGCGGCACAACTCTTTTTAATATTGATAATAATCAGAAATGTTTCTTGAGCAGCAAATCAGCATCTTAGAATGATTTCTGAAGATCATGTGACACTGAAGACTGCAGTAATGATGTTGAAAATTCAGCTTTGATCACAGGAATAAATTACACTTTAAAATAAATTCAAATAGATAAGTTATTTTAAATTACAAAAATATTTCATAATATTACTGATTTTTTAAAAATAAATTCAGCCTTGGTGAGCAGATATTAACAAAATCTTACCAACTTCAAACTTTTGAATGCTGGTGAATATATACATTTTAAATATTAATAGATACAATTATAATCAGACAATTATATATTTTTAAATAAATTTAATAATGAATAACATTTTAACATTTAGTAATATTTTATATTTTCATATATATTCCATGTACAAATATCAAATTTTATCAATCATAAAAATACATAAACATATTATACATGCATACATACACACACACACACACATATATATATATATATATATATATACATATATATATATGAGCAATATATATGTATATATATAGCAACATATATTGCAATATATAGCAATATATATGAGCAATATCACACAAGTAGCAGCATAAGGCTGCATGTAATCACAGCGTGCCAATATACACAATCAGCATCTTAGAATGATTTCTGAAGGATCATGTGACACTGAAGACTGGAGTAATGATGTTGAAAATTCAGCTTTGATCACAGGAATAAATTACACTTTAAAATAAATTCAAATAGATAAGTTATTTTAAATTACAAAAATATTTCATAATATTACTGATTTTTTTTTAAATAAATTCAGCCTTGGCGAGCAGATATTAACAAAATCTTACCAACTTCAAACTTTTGAATGCTGGTGAATATATACATTTTAAATATTAATAGATACAATTATAATCAGACAATTATATATTTTTAAATAAATTTAATAATGAATAACATTTTAACATTTAGTAATATTTTATATTTTCATATATATTCCATGTACAAATATCAAATTTTATCAATCATAAAAATACATAAACATATTATACATGCATACATACACACACACACACACATATATATATATATATATATATATACATATATATATATGAGCAATATATATGTATATATATAGCAACATATATTGCAATATATAGCAATATATATGAGCAATATCACACAAGTAGCAGCATAAGGCTGCATGTAATCACAGCATGCCAATATACACCGATATCGCACGGCTACGAGTGTGATATTGCGTTTATACAACAGTTCGACAGAACAAGTACGTAAATAAAAAGAGAGACAACAACGGAGTGTCTTTAAAAACCCTTTTTTAGTGCAGAACTACTTCCTTCCGCCACAGATTCAAATCTCAGTTTGACAGATTAACAGCTGAGCTCAAGATCCGTTACTAATTCGAAAAACGTCACTTTAGAACTAGAAACGAAGGAATGTTGAGCTGCTCCATTGAAAGCTTATTGTATCACTGTATTAAAAGCTCACTGTATTATGTAGAGTATTATGAGAGAGAGATGGACTGAGTGAGTGTGATTACCTGCATCTGAATGTTGTTGAAAGTAAAAAAGAACTTCCTTGTTTACAACCCTGTTTCAGTCTCTTTCAATATAGAAGTCTTTACTGCGGACTCACTCAGAAAAACAGTCTCTTGTCACCATCTAACGGTGGAACAATGTCACTAAAATCACCGTCACAAACACACACACCATTTCTCATGTTTAACCACTATAGGGACATCGGAGCCAGCGGCAAACTCCAGAAGATCTGGCCGAGGTGAGGCTGCTCTCGGCGGGTTCATGAGCGCTGAACGGCCGCTGACGCACTGGAGCTCACATCTCCGAAAACGTCGAAGCAAATTTTCAGATAGACGTTATGTTTATTAACAAACCGCATACTTGAAGTCTAAACAAGTACATTCTCGCCTAAATAACTCTTAAAACTACATTCCGTGACACAAAAACTGTTTAACTTATAAAATTATAGTGGATTCGCCATGATATCACTAATATCGCACCTCTAGAAAAGGCTCTTAGCCAATCAGATTCGAGGAGCGGAAAGAACTGTTGTATAAATATACATAATTTATAAAATTATATATAATAAAATATTTCACATTCCATTATTTAAAAAAATATATTTTATATAATATATGAAAAATAAATATTCACAGTGTAAAGATTTCACCCCAGTTCAAGCAAAATATTTACGAAAAACCAACTTAAAAAGTAGAAATGGTCAGTTATAAACACAACCAAGAGCTCTTTTAACATATGACCACCCACTTTTACATATTAACACATAATCAGCATTCAAATGGACATGGAGGTTAGCCAATCACGTGCAGGGCATTTACATAAGTCTTAAAGGTACAGCAGCAAAACAGGTTTGTTTCTAAAGGCCTTGAAAAATTAAATTATGACCTTTTTGCTAATGAAACCTTGACTCTTTAAAATGCATCTTTAATTTCTTGCTAATTAATTTATTTTGCTCAATATGAGATATATATATACATATATATATATGAGCAATATATATGTATATATATAGCAACATATATTGCAATATATAGCAATATATATGAGCAATATCACACAAGTAGCAGCATAAGGCTGCATGTAATCACAGCATGCCAATATACACCGATATCGCACGGCTACGAGTGTGATATTGCGTTTATACAACAGTTCGACAGAACAAGTACGTAAATAAAAAGAGAGACAACAACGGAGTGTCTTTAAAAACCCTTTTTTAGTGCAGAACTACTTCCTTCCGCCACAGATTCAAATCTCAGTTTGACAGATTAACAGCTGAGCTCAAGATCCGTTACTAATTCGAAAACGTCACTTTAGAACTAGAAACGAAGGAATGTTGAGCTGCTCCATTGAAAGCTTATTGTATCACTGTATTAAAAGCTCACTGTATTATGTAGAGTATTATGAGAGAGAGATGGACTGAGTGAGTGTGATTACCTGCATCTGAATGTTGTTGAAAGTAAAAAAGAACTTCCTTGTTTACAACCCTGTTTCAGTCTCTTTCAATATAGAAGTCTTTACTGCGGACTCACTCAGAAAAACAGTCTCTTGTCACCATCTAACGGTGGAACAATGTCACTAAAATCACCATCACAAACACACACACCATTTCTCATGTTTAACCACTATAGGGACATCGGAGCCAGCGGCAAACTCCAGAAGATCTGGCCGAGGTGAGGCTGCTCTCGGCAGGTTCATGAGCGCTGAACGGCCGCTGACGCACTGGAGCTCACATCTCCGAAAACGTCGAAGCACATTTTCAGATAGACGTTATCTTTATTAACAAACCGCATCCTTGAAGTCTAAACAAGTACATTCTCGCCTAAATAACTCTTAAAACTACATTCCGTGACACAAAAACTGTTTAACTTATAAAATTATAGTGGATTCGCCATGATATCACTAATATCGCACCTCTAGAAAAGGCTCTTAGCCAATCAGATTCGAGGAGCGGAAAGAACTGTTGTATAAATATACATAATTTATAAAATTATATATAATAAAATATTTCACATTCCATTATTTAAAAAAATATATTTTATATAATATATGAAAAATAAATATTCACAGTGTAAAGATTTCACCCCAGTTCAAGCAAAATATTTACGAAAAACCAACTTAAAAAGTAGAAATGGTCAGTTATAAACACAACCAAGAGCTCTTTTAACATATGACCACCCACTTTTACATATTAACACATAATCAGCATTCAAATGGACATGGAGGTTAGCCAATCACGTGCAGGGCATTTACATAAGTCTTAAAGGTACAGCAGCAAAACAGGTTTGTTTCTAAAGGCCTTGAAAAATTAAATTATGACCTTTTTGCTAATGAAACCTTGACTCTTTAAAATGCATCTTTAATTTCTTGCTAATTAATTTATTTTGCTCAATATGAGCTTCTGTGTGCCGGTAACTGCGGTGATTATAGTGAATTATGCCTTATGCTTGGATGGCGAGAGCAGCTGAATAAACATCTACAAGCCAGAGAGAGAAGTGGATGTCTGTGGATGGGGACGCAGGCCATCCCCTCTCATTTGACGCCCAATTGAGCATTAATTACCCAGACTCCTCTGCTCTGCTTTGTAGTCGTCTGGGCTCAGTGAGTATGGAGAGAGACGCTCGCTGTCTGGAGTACAGCGCTTTATTTGTCTTTATTCCTGAATGCTTTTTATCCCACCTCCAACACAGTACAAAGTCTTTGCACTTTTGCTTTTGTATTTCGGTTCTGCACCAGCTTCACTCCATCGAATTACAAGCTATTTCACCTCGGCTAACGCATCTTCATATGAGGCCGAACGATCTACAGCACAGGCAATTTCGAGAAGTGGAGGAAAAAAGCGTTTTGCACTATTCATTATGGTCATATTGTTTACGG